GCCTGAGTTTCCAAATGGTCAGTCCGCCCCTGCATGTACCCTTAGGACTGGTTACATGAGATCAGCGCCTCGGACTGAGCCTGGACACGGATGGTTTGCACCCAGGGATTCTGGCTCTGGATGTTGCTAAGCAATCTCTGTGCATCACCCAAGGTGCAGCGCAGAGTCTTGAAGTAGAAGACCCAACTTCTTATGTTGCACGCATCCAGAAAACGCTCCTGAGAGCCCGGCCTCCAAGTCTATATCTGGGGCACATACACACATACGGTCAGCTTGGTGGATTCCCTGTCGCTGGAGTGCAACTGCTAATAGATTAAATTGGCACCAAAAACGGTTCCTTATTCAGTAAAACGGAGGACAAACCGTTTTTTTTGTTGGCCAAAACAAGCGCGCTCTTCGCGCGGGAGGATGACATGTGCACGTGATATATAAAGGACGTCTCGATAAAAGATTGATCAATTCGGCTTCTGACAGTTTAATAATTTAAAGATTTAACTGCATTCCAGGTATATGAAAAACCAACCCGGGCAGAGGGGCTTATCCCTTGCTCCCCCTGGCAGCCACCGCTTGCCTCTATTCTCCAAATTCTCTTGGTTGTGGACAGGCCCTCGGTGTCTCCACCTATAAAGCAAGGACTGCAGGTTCTGCATTGTACGTGATGACGTCACAGCTGCAACCGCTGGAGAAGAGGCCAATAAAAAGTACTTTTATTTACCTTATAACTTGCTCCCCCTGGCAGCCACCACTTGCCTCTTCTCTCCAAGTGTTCTGGGTTATGGGCAAGTCCTCTGTGTCTCCACTTACAATGCAGGACTGCAGGTTTTGCACTGTACGTGATGACGTCACAGCTGCAACTGCTGGATAGGGGCCAATAAAAAGTACTTTTATTTACCTTATCCCTTGCTCCCCCTGGCAGCCACCACTTGCCTCTTCTCTCCAAGTGTTCTGTGTTGTGGTTGGGCCCTCGGTGTCTCCAGCTAAAACGCAAGGACTGCAGGTTTTGCACTGTACATGATGACGTCACAGCTGCAACCGCTGGAGAGAGGCCAATACAAAGTACTTTTATTTACCTTTTCCCTTGCTCCCCCTGGCAGCCACCACTTGCCTCTTCTCTCCAAGTATTCTGTGTTGTGGATGGGCCCTCAGTGGCTCCAGCTACAACGCAAGGACTGCAGGTTCTGCATTGTACATGATGACGTCACAGCTGCAACTGCTGGAGAAGAGGCCAATACAAAGTAATTTTATTTACCTTACCCCTTGCTCCCTCTGGCAGCCACCACTTGCCTCTTCTCTCTAAGTGCTCTGGGTTATGGGCAAGCCCTTTGTGTCGCCACTTACAATGCAGGACTGCAGGTTTTGCATTGTACGTGATGACGTCACAGCTGCAACCGCTGGAGAAGAATCCAATAAAAAGTACTTTTATTTACCTTATCCCTTGCTCTCCCCTGGCAGCTGCTGCTTGAGCCTTCTCTCCAAGTGCTCTAGGTTGTGGGCAGGCCCTCAGTGTCTTCACTTACAATGCAGGACTGCTGGTTCTGCATTGTACGTGATGACGTCACAGCTGCAGTTGCTGGAGAAGAGGCTGCGGGGGACTGGTTCCATGGAAAGAGGAGCCTGTGGGAGCGTGGGATAAAATAAATAAATGTGTTTTTTACTGGTACCCTAGGCAAAAAAAAAAAAAGAGTGTTCCACCCTTGAGGTGTAGGGAGGAGCCCCACTGCAAGGGTTTTTTTTTTTTCATTCCTCTCGGAGTTCAGCTTTAAAATGATCTTTCATTTCTGGCGACGTATGATCCTTGCCTGTGTCCCTGGTGGAGGCTACAAGCATTTGTGCCAACATACATATGGGCACACATGGCCCACCGTTGTCAGTGAAGGCGGTCTGACGCTGGAGCGAGTGAATGTAGACAGTAAATGGCTGGAAGAAGCCGAAGGAGATCAGCAGCACTGAGATGCAAAAAGGAGAAAATGAAATTTATGCCAAATAAAAACCAAACAAACACATGGCAATGGTTTATGATACACAGCCGTTTGCAAACTAAATGTCATCCAGTTAAGAGTTTAAATCTGCAGTTAGGAAATCGAGGAATTTTTTCTTGAAAACTGGAGACAACCTAAAACTTTTCCTCGACAGGCGAAGGCCAGTTGTACTTCCCATCCAGTTATGCCAATCCTCAACGGTCTGCTAAGTACCTACAGATCTCCAGCAAACACAGGTGAAGACCGCTGGAGCTGTCCGATTGGCTGATGGCGGGAATGTTGTTCATAAAATATTCCGAATGTTCTGAAGCCTCTCCGAAGGGATTAATCCTTCACACGGTGCTGACTTTCCTGGGCCCGTTCCAAAATCAGTCAATCAGCAATGAAAAGGGCAGCTATGCTGGGAGCATTGGCAAACCTTCAGGAAGGGCAGGAATAACAAGTGCGCCAAGTGATGTGAACGCAGAGCTAGGCTCAGATACCCAGGATATTGTAGCCTGCAAATATTCAGACCTTATTCTACCACCTTACCTGGTCCTGGAACTGAAGGCGCCCTGTGCGGTCACATGACCCATGCTAAGATGATGGTCATACGCTCAATGCTGAAAGAGATTCAGGAAAGACAGCCACTCAAGAAGTTCTGTCATCAAGAGCTCAACCAGCCAATCAGGAGATCTGCTTGTCATCAGCAGTCCAACCAGACAATTAGGAATGCTACCTGTTATCAGAAGGTCAACCAGGAGCTCTACCTGTCATCCGCAGTCCAGCCAGCCAATCAAAAGCTCTAAATGTATCAGGAGCTCTACTTGTCATAAGGTGCCCTACCATTCAATTAGAAGTTCTACCTGTTATCAGGAGTCCAACGAGCCAATCAGGAGCTCTACCTGTCATCAGCAGTCCAGCCAGCCAATTAGCTCTACCTGTCATCAGCAGTCCAACCAGCCAATCAAAATCTCTACCTGTGATCAGGAACCCAATCAGGAGCTCTACCTGTCATTAGACTCCAAACCGATCATCAGAAGCCCAACCAGCCAACCCGGAGCTCTACCTGTCATCAGGAGATGAAACGGACAAACAGAAGCTCTACCAGTCACCAGGAGCCCAACCACCAACTCCTCTTCATATCATGATAAGGCGCTCTCTGTCTTTTCCTTTTATTTACATCTTTTTCTGAAGACTATAGAAGACTTCCCCTCCTGTAATCAGGAGCCCAACTAGGCAATCAGGAGCTCTACCTGTCATCAGGCTTCAAGCCAATCATCAGGAGCCCAACCAGCCAACCCGAGCTCTACCTGTCATCAGGAGATGAAACAGACAAACAGAAGCTCTACCAGTCACCAGGAGCCCAACCAGCCAACAAGGAGCTCTACCTGTCATCAGAAGCCCAACCAGGCAATCAGGAGCTCTGCCTGTCATCAGGAGCCCAACAAGCCAATCAGGAGCTCTACCTGTCATCAGGAGCCCAAACCACCAACTCCTCTTCATACCATGATAAGGCGCTCTCTGTCTTTTCCTTTTATTTACATCTTTTTCTGAAGACTATAGAAGACTTCCCCTCCTGTAATCAGGAGCCCAACCAGCCAACCAGGAGCTCTACCTGTCATTAGCAGTCCAACCAGCCAGTCAAAAGCTCTACCTGTCATTAACAGTCCAACCAGCCAACCAAAAGCTCTAACTGACATCAGGAACCCGATCAGGAGCTCTACCTGTCATAAGGTGCCCAGCCAGCCAATTAGAAGTTCTACCTGTTATTAGGAGCCCAATCAGCCAATCAGGAGCTCTACCTGTCATTATCAGTCCAACCAGCCAATCAAAAGCTCTAACTGTCATCTGGAGCCCTATCAGGAGCTCTACCTGTTGTAAGGTGCCCAACCGGCCAATCAGGAGTTTCTACTTGTTATAGTCTAACCAGCCAATCAAAACCTCTACCTGTCATAAGGTGCCCAACGCGCAAATTAGGAGTTCTACTTGTCATTAGGAGTCCAACCAGCTTATCTGGTGCTTCACCTGTCATCAGGAGCCCAACTAGCCCAGTTGGGAGCTCTACTTGGCATTAGGATCCGACCTGTCATCAGGAGCCCAACAAGTCAGTTGGGTCCCTGATGACAGGTAAAGTGCCAAACAAGTGAATTAGGAGCCATCAGGATCCCATCCTGCCATCATGGAGGCCAGCCAACCACCCAGGAGCTCTACTAGGCATCCTTCCAACCAGCAAATAATCGGAATACTAAATAATGAAAACCTATATCTTATATTATACTTATAAGTACAATAAATACAAATCTAGGCTTGGCAGAGGATGGCTGATGAAGGCTCTGCACACTACAGAAGGTGCCACCATCATTTACCATTGCAGCTGTCTTTTTGTACCAACCCCTCCCCCCCATCATCTCCAGCCTCCCCCATAAACATTAAATGGAAATTGTTACAGTATGCACTGACCCTCTTACACACCCCTCCCCCTACACCTCCATGAGCTCCCAGTGCCTGAAAACTTGCCTGACTGCAGAACAGTGCAGTGCAATATTGGTTTCATTTCCTTGCGGCACCGAACCAGGTGGAGATGTGGTGTGCAGGAGACGGGGAGAGAAGAACGACTTACATTTAATTACATTTTAATGAATAACAGTCAACACTTCTATTAATGATATGCCTGAAGTCCCCCTGCGACGGATATGAATTTTGTTCCCCCCAGGCAGCTTTATTGTGACACCCCCGCCCCCCGCCCCCCCGCCCCACGCTCCGCTCCACAGCCACAAATCCTTCCTGCTGCTGCTTTCCATCTACTCAGCACAATGATAATAAGAGGATTCTACAAATTGTATAAATGTTTTCTAATGGTGACTCGTTTGTATGTTATCACCCCCAAGGCAACGAAATATAAATATATACTGTATACATGTACACAAACACACACATATATATATACACTATGGGGAAAAGTATTGGCCCCGCCCTCCCAATCATGGGATTCAGGTGTTCCAATCCCCTCCATATCATCTGATTCAGGTGTTCCAATTCCCTCCATATCATGTGATTCAGGTGTTCCAATCCCCTCCATATCATGTGATTCAGGTGTTCCAATCCCCTCCATATAATGTGATTCAGGTGTTCCAATCCCCTCCCAATCATGTGATTCAGGTGTTCCAATCCCCTTCAAATCATGGGATTCAGGTGTTCCAATCCCCTCCATATAATGTGATTCAGGTGTTCCAATCCCCTCCATATCATGTGATTCAGGTGTTCCAATCCCCTCCATATCATGTGATTCAGGTTTTCCAATCCCCCTCCATATAATGTGATTCAGGTGTTCCAATCCCCTCCATATAATGTGATTCAGGTGTTCCAATCCCCTCCATATCATGTGATTCAGGTGTTCCAATCCCCTCCATATCATGTGATTCAGGTTTTCCAATCCCCTCCATATAATGTGATTTAGGTGTTCCAATCCCCTCCATATCATGTGATTCAGGTGTTCCAATCCCCTCCAGTCATGTGATTCAGGTGCTCCAATCCCCTCCATATCATGTGATTCAGGTGTTCCAATCCCCTCCCAATCATGTGATTCAGATGTTCCAATCCCCTCCATATCATGTGATTCAGGTGTTCCAGTCCCCTACATATCATGTGATTCAGGTGTTCCAATCCCCTCCATATCATGTGATTCAGGTGTTCCAGTCCCCTCCAGTCATGTGATTCAGGTGCTCCAATCCCCTCCATATCATGTGATTCAGGTGTTCCAATCCCCTCCCAATCATGTGATTCAGGTGTTCCAATCCCCTCCATATCATGTGATTCAGGTGTTCCAAACCCCTCCATATCATGTGATTCAGGTGTTCCAATCCCCTCCATATCATGTGATTCAGGTGTGCCAATCCCCTCCATATCATGTGATTCAGGTGTTCCAATCCCCTCCATATCATGTGATTCAGGTGTTCCAATCCCCTCCATGGACACAGGTGTATACAATCAAGCCCCTAGGCATGCAGACTGCTTCTACAAACATTGGTGAAAGAATGGGTCGCTCTCAGGAGCTCAGTGACTCCAAGCGTGGTCCCGTGATAGGTGGCCACCTGGGCAATAAGTCCATCCGTGACATTTCCTGGCTACTAAATATTCCACGCTCAACTGTTAGTGGGATTATCACAAAGTGAAAGCAACTGGGAACAACAGCCACTCAGCCACCAAGTGGTAGGCCAGTGAAGGGAACTCTTAAGGCACCATTTTGGACAATTTCATGCCCCCAACTTTGTGGGAGGAGTTTGGGGATGGCCCCTTCCTGTTCCAACATGACTGCCCACCAGTGCACAAAGCAAGGTCCATAAAGACATGGAGGAGCCAGTTTGGGGTGAACTTGACTGTCCTGCACAGAGTCCTGACCTCAACCCCATAGAACACCTTTGGGATGAATTAGAGCGGAGACTGCGAGCCAGGCCCCCTCCCCCGACATCAGTGCCTGACCTGACAAATGTGCTTCTGGAAGAATGGTCCAACCTTCCCATAGACACCCTCCTAAACCTTGTGGACGGCCTTCCCAGAAGAGTTGAAGCTGTTATAGCTGCAAAGGGCGGGGCCAACTCAATATTGAACCCTACGGACTAAGACTGGGGGGCCATTAAAGGTCATGTGTGTGGAAAGGGCGGGGCCAACTCAATATTGAACCCTACGGACTAAGACTGGGGGGGCCATTAAAGGTCATGTGTGGGGAAAGGGCGGGGCCAACTCAATATTGAACCCTACGGACTAAGACTTGGGGGCCATTAAAGGTCATGTGTGTGGAAAGGGCGGGGCCAACTCAATATTGAACCCTATGGACTAAGACTGAGGGGCCATTAAAGGTCATGTGTGTGGAAAGGGCGGGGCCAACTCAATATTGAACCCTACGGACTAAGACTGGGAGGCGATGAAAGGTCATGTGTGTGGAAAGGGCGGGGCCAACTCATTATTGAACCCTACGGACTAAGACTGGGGGCCATTAGAGGTCATGTGCGTGGAAAGGGTGGGGCCAACTCAATATTGGATCCTACGGACTAAGACTGGGGGGACATTAAAGGTCATGTGTGAGGAAAGGGCGGGGCCAACTCAATATTGAACCCTACGGACTAAGACTGGGGGGCCATTAAAGGTCATGTGTGTGGGAAGGCCGGCGGCCCAATACTTGGGGCAATATAGTGTACATTGCGGCTTTCAAGTGGTTTACCGGAGTTATGGCTGAACCCCAGTATTTAGTTTTTCAGCCGGCGATACTTTTGTAAATACATTGTATGTCTAATATTTGTCCCCAATACAGTGGCAGTTGCGGAGGGTAAACAGATCTTGGGGTGTGAAGAAGGACAGTTGGGAGGCCATGAAAGGTCATGTGTGTGGAAAGGCAGGTGGCCCGATGCTTTTGGCAATATAGTGTGTGTGTATATATACGGTGTGTATATATATATATATATATATATATATATACACACACACATACATACATAAATACATACATACATACACGCACACACATACATAAATACACGCACACACATACATACATACACGCACACACATACATACATACATACATACATACATACACGCACACACATACATAAATACACGCACACACATACATACACGCACACACATACATAAATACACGCACACACATACATACATACACACATACATACATACATACACACATACATGCATACATACACACACACATACATATATACATACACGCACACACATACATACATACATACACGCACACACACACATACATACATACATACATAAATACATACATACATACATGCACACATACATACATACACACACATACACACATACATACATACACACACACACATACATACATACATACATACACGCACACACACACACATACGTACATACATACACACACACATACATACATACATACACGCACACACATACATACATACATACATACATACATAAATACATACATACATACATACACACACACACATACATACATACACGCACACACACACATACATACATACATACATACACAGACACATACATACATACACGCACACACACATACATACATACATACATACATACACGCACACACATACACACATACATACATACATAAAATACATACATACATACATACACGCACACACATACATACATACATACATACATACACGCACACACATACACACACACATACATACATACATACACGCACACACATACACACATACATACATGCATACATACACGCACACACATACACACACACACATACATACATATACACGCACACACATACACACACACATACATACATACATACATACACACATACATACATACATACACGCACATACACACATACACGCACACACATACATACATACATACACACATACATACATACATACATACACACATACATACATACATACATACATACACGCACACATACACATGAGGTATTTAAAGCAGAACTCCAGCCAAGGACAGAAAGATAACAAATGAACGGCTCAATAAAGATAAAAGACTAAAGCATATTTCCTGCAATATTCACCTTTAATCCTGACCCCCCCCCCCCCCCCCCCCCCCTCCCCCCACAATACTTTTTTCTGCCATTAGATGAATGTGATAACCAGCATCTTTCAACTCACTCAGCCTGTGATTGGACAGTAAAAGGAGAAGCAGCACCGTGATGAGCTGATCTGTCACTCTGCTCTCTCCTCCTATTGGCATGCTTCTTGCACAACTGACCACCTCTCATGGCTGCTTCCCCTCCCCAGTCTGAGCTCTGCTGTAAGGCACTGTAAGAGGCCACGCAGAGGATTCCGGGTCACATTCAGGCGTGGATACGGCTTGCCTTTAGAACTACAAGTATTTATGAGTTATTGGATCCTGCATGAGCGTGTCTTCGCATCGGCCCCGAGCTATAAAGAATAGAAATGCGATGGCGAGATGCCAGGGGGGGGGGCTGTAAGACGCAGGAAGGAGGGGAGACGCGTTCCATATTGCCAAACGTTAGACGAATACAGACCCTGACTGGCCGGCCTGGTGAGTGACGGATGAAACAGAGACAGCGGAATACATTGCCGCTCGGCCAGAGAATCTCATCTATATTTATACAGACGGCGGTCGCCGGGGATGGAGGTGTCCGCAGCAGCGACTGTCTGTCTGACCCGCCGCATGCACGCCGTTTGCGCTTTACTGCTCCTGTAATCCCAACGCAGGTCAGCAAACAGAACCCGTCTGGCGGCTTTCACTGAAAACAGAATGCCCCGCAGGTGGCCTTTCCTGACGCTGATTTTCTCGCAGCGTCCATTTGTATATTTCAATAAGCCCTACAAACCTGACAGGGGCTCTAACCCTTACCCATCCAACACTAAACAATGGTGGTGTACTCTAGCTGTAGGGAAAGAACGCAAATGTTTAAAGCTGAAGTGTATTGTATGTATTTGATGCCTTCCTTTGGTACCTCCGATTTTCAAATCAGATCGTTTTGTTTTCAAGAAATACCCAGTGACATCATCACCGGGTCTGTCTGCTGGTCTTTGCTCCATAACAAGAACGGGTTTGGTGTTAGGGATCAGCAGGTTCCAGGAAATGCATCCATTGTTGTATGAAAGAACACATCCACAGCATCCTTTTAGATGTGCATGTTCCTCCCTGCTGGCCACTGGCTGCTGCTGACTTTAGCTGTGCACTCTACTGATCAGTTGCTAATATAGTTTATCGAGCAACTGATCAGCAGATTGCACAGATAATGTCAGCAGCAGCCAGCAGGGATGTCGGTGATGTGCTCTTTCATATAATGCAATAGAGTGACTGAGACCAACCCCAAAGGTCGCATCCACACATGACAACGACCACAAATGATTGATGGCAGAGGAGAAGAGGATTGAAGAGGACAAGGAATGAAGACGGGCTTAAGGTAGTTGCCATCTCGAAGGGTTCCATTTTGGAGATGTAAGTTTGTAGGAACTTGCGACTAATTCGTTTCAGCGCAGGAGAGGACTTGCTGCCAGGGTTGCCAATCGTTCGTAAACTTAACTTAAAAAAAAAGTCGCTTTTCTCTTGTCCATAATTATCTGCGGACAAGGGATGCACAGTTCTGGAGTCGGCCAAATAGAACAGCTCAGTGGCAGGACGGGTCTGGGTGACGTCATGGCGCACATTGAGCCTTTGAATAAATGCTGCTGCCGATGCGCCTTTTCCTGCTAGGCCAGGGGAGGATATATCACCCATTAAAATAGTGGCGTCTCACCAGCTCTGTGCTGTTCATGTGCAGTTCTGGCATCAGCCGAATAAAACAGCTCGGCCTTAGCTCAGGTGGTGGGTCGGTTCTGGGTGACGTCACGGTGCACATTGAGCCTGTGAATAAATGCTGCTCCCGATGCTCCTTTTCCTGCCATGCCAGGGGAGAGGATATATCACCTGTTAAAATATCGGCTTCTTGCCAGCTCTGTGCTGTCAATGCGTAGTTCTGGCATCAGCCAAATAAAAAAGCTTGGCTTCAGCCCAGGTGGCGCAAAATTTCTGGGTGACATCACGGCGCACATTGAGCCTGTGAATAAATGCTGCTGCTGATGTGCCTTTTCCTGCCAGGCCAGGGGACAGAGATAGCACCTATTAAAATACCATCTTCTCACCAGCTCTGTGCTGTGCATGCACAGTTCTGGAGTCTCACAAATAAAACAGCTCGGCCTCAGCTTAGGTGGCGTGACGGGTCTGTATGACGTCATGGCGCACATTGGGCATGTGAATAAATGCCGCTGCTGATGCACCTTTTCCTGCCAGGCCAGGGGATGGAGATAGCACCTGTTACAATACCAGCTTCTCACCGGCACTGTTCTGTGCATGTGCAGTTCCGTAATAAGTTGATTAGTAAACCTCTTGGCCTCAGCTCAGGCGGCAGGATGGATCCGGGTGCACGGTGACGTCATGACGCATATCGGGTGTGTGAATACATGCTACTACCGATGCACCTTTT